CCAATTCATGAACACTGTCTCTACATTTAGGTCTCTAAATCTACATCGTTAATTTCAGAGTGTAGAGACTTCATATGCATTTTGTGAGTTTTTCCTAAGTATTTCATGGCTTTTAATATTATTATAACAGTATTTTTTATTTAAAGTTTTATTTATCCATAATCAGTACCAATAATTTGCTTTGTTATATTAGCTGTGTTTTTTATGACTTTAATAAATACACTTATTCTAGAAGGAATTTTAGTATATAGAGGTTTAAAACTGAACAGAATGAGGGAGTGGAGTGGGAACTGGGATTGGTATTTAAAATGAAAAAGATAGAGTTTTTAAAAAAATTTAAAAAACTGAAAATTGTGTTTTCCATATATAAATATGATTTTACCCTTTCCATCGCAAACTGTTAATTTATTTATTGCATTGGTTTGAGCCACCAGTGAAATGTGAATGTAAGCAGAGAGTAGACATCCAGACATCCTTGAATTGTCCCTGCTTATGTGGAAAATGCATCCAGTCTTTACTATTAAGCATGAAGTTAGCTTTAGGATTTTGAAAATGTTCTTTGTCAGATTGAGGAACATACTTATAGTTCTTTGATAGGATTGTGTATACATTAGATGTTGAATTATTTTTATTCTTATATATGCTTTAAAAATCCCCATTTTACCTCAATGCTCAGAATATTTTATATAATTTATGGATTTTGTGAGAGAGAGAGAGAGAGAGAGAGAGAGAGAGAGACAGAGAGAGACAGAGAGAGAGACAGAGAGAGACAGAGAGACAGAGGCAGAGAATGAACCCAGGCTAGATATCTGAAAGGAAGTAAGAATTGGCTGTAGAGCTTAGGAATGTTTGGATGTCAGTTTTACTACCATTATCTACATTCTTCCTTGAAATATTCATAAGAGACCTGAGAAATAAACATTTCCATTTTATAAGTGGGGAACGAATAAGGATGGAATTATTTAAAAGCTCATACACAACTAGATAGTAGGGAAGTACCAGTTCATTGCTTCATAGAAACACAATCATTAAGTTAGTACAACAAACATCTACAAACGAGGCTGCTTCCAATATTCTTCAAGTTTAAATGAAGCATGATTCACATAGTGAAAGAATAAGAAGCCTGTTTGATTCCCATGGAATGTTTGCTGTTCTTAGACTGACTATTGAACCAATCAGAAAAGGCAATTCTTTTACAATACCTATCTTAGCTTAGTCTAAGTTACTTTTCTATTTCTGGGCTAAGGCATCACAATCAAGGCAATTTAGAAGAAAGTATTTAACTTGGGCTTATAGTTTCAGAGAGTTCGAGTCTATGATTGTGAAGCAAAGGGATGGTACCACAAACAGCTGTGAGTTTACATCACTCTGTAGACCAGACTGGCCTAGAACTCAGAGATCCACCTGCCTCTGCCTCCTGAGTGCTGGGATCAAAGGTGTGCGCCATGTGTGCCACCACCGTGGCTGTGAGCTTACATATTAATCAGCAAGTAGGAAGGAGAGGGAGAGGGAGAGGGAGAGGGAGAGGGAGAGGGAGAGGGAGAGAGGGAGAGGGAGAGGGAGAGAGAGAGAGAGAGAGAGAGAGAGAGAGAGAGAGAGAGAGAGAGCAAAAATATACTAGAATAGCCTGAGTCTTTTGAAATCTCAAAAACCACCACCAGTGACACACCTCCTCCAACAAGACCATGCCTCCTGATCCTTCCTCAGCAGTTCTACCAAGTAATCATTATTAGTTGGTAATACTACTACTACTACTGGTATTATTCGTAGTATTAGACCAATCATTCAAACATGAGCCTATGGGGAACATTCTCATTCAAACCACCACATATTAAAAATTACAAAAGGTATATAAAAAATCACAAAATATATAAAAACTTATAAAAGGCCAAAAAATGTACATTTTATTAGTTTACAACCACAAAGATTTGGTTCATAGACAAAGCAAAGACATTATTTTTGTTTATGGATCAAAATGAAAACATTTCTCAACCCTGAAAAAAAAAGGAAATTTGAATGTGGGAGAGAATTAAGACACATTCACATCCTTAGTTTCCAAATGGGATAGTTAAACAATCCCTTTTGAGTCTCAGCTCCTCTCCTGTGAAATGAGAAACGTATCCTTACCACTGTAATTGTTGTAAGGATTAATGAGCCCTGACTGGTGAGGTGGCTCAGTGGGAAAAGGTGCTTGCCACCCAGTGCGTGAACCTGAGTTTGAGCCATACAACTCAGACAGGGGAAAGAACTGATATTCTCTCTGCTGTGCTCTGACCTATACACATGTACCATGAGACATATGTACACACGCAAAATAAATAAATACATACAAGGGGCAACCAAAGAGCCTATATTTAGGAAATATCTGAAATGAAGTAGACACCTGACTAACTGCAAGGAGGCAAGCATGTAGGTAGAAGGAAATCAAACTTCACTGATGCAGGAGCAGCCGCGGCTTTAATGTTACGCTAACAAACCCCCTTTCATGCAGAAGCTATCACTGCTCAGAAGGCATGATGAGTGTGGCTAATGAAAACATAGAGGTCGTGGACCCAGTACGGGATATTTGAGTGATGGGATGTCTGTGTGATGTCATCACCTTATCTTGTTAGTTGGAAGCACTGAAACTCTGGGATGCTTCTTGACTCACCCAATTCCATCCAGAAGTGACTAAGCCAGAGTTGAAACCAGGAATGTTGCCTGCCTTGAGCTGGGTGGGCCAATGGATCAGATACTCCAGCTGAGCTCCTGGTGTTTGCTCTGTACCCATTTCTAATGAATAGGCCCCTAGGTTTAATTAAGGAGAAAGGAGATTAATTGTTTCTCCCAACAGCTGCAAATTATTTACATTGCATTTGTGTTGATGGCTAATAAAAGAGCAGAGGCGAATGGGGACAGCCCAGGACGACTGTAATTCTTACAGAGTCCATAATGAAGTGCAGGTCTGAATGACAAAATGTAAGAAAGGATGAGCCTGCTGCCCCGTGTGTACCTGAAGTGGGCAGAGCTGCTCTCTGCTCTGCGCAGGATTCAGTCAGTGAAAATGGATCTCGGGGGCTCAGACATGAGACTGCCTGGGCATATATATGTCCTTGATCCAGCAGACTGCCACTCCATTTGCGATTGCTGGAGATTGGGTGAGAAATAGGAGCAGGGTGATTCAGGACAATCCCAGGACAACTCCTAAATAAACTTTTGATGGATGATGAATTGGGAAAGGGAAGAGGAACCAGAGTTCATCTCAATTCTCTAAGCCCCTGATTTTCCATGGAATAAAGTGTGAGGGTTGGTCGTATTAGTTTAACAAGTTATTTTGCTTTTTAAAATATCTGCTTTGCCCCCTTAGTCCCGAGAATGTATGTGGGAGATTTAAAAGAGGTCAATTGTTCTCAACTGAAGGACCACTCTTGGTGCTTATGAGGAGTATTGACAGGAGATGGGAGGGTCTTTTCTTGGGAAATGAACTAAAATACTTGTATAGATATCTAAGTGGCGTCATAAGGAACTAGAACATAAATTAGGTGACACACATCAAAGAGGGTAGAAGTTGGATATTCACCAGAGATGTCCACATGTGAACATACAAAATCTTGTTACATCTCATCTCAAGTCTCTGGCCATTGTTGGTCTTTGGTAGTACATTACAATTGCTTGATAGGTTCCAACGTAGAGCCATAAACTAAGTACCTTAGAAAAATGGAAATGTATTGTATCACACTTTGGATGCTTGACATCTAAAATGAAGGTGTTGCAAGATCATGCTTCTTGTGTATATCTGTACTCTGGAGAATGATCAGGTTGATGCTCCCATCCTAGATAAAACCCAGTGGCTAGTAAAAGTATTAGTGTGTGTGCATGTGTGTGTGTTTGTGTATGTGTTTTGTGTGTGCGTGTGTGTGTGTTCATGGTGCTCGTATATGTCTTCTATAAGAGCAGGTCAGTGGTCAAGCTTGAATATCATTCCTCAGGTACTGCCCATCTTGGTTTTTTAATTTTATTTTTTATTTGTATAAGTTCTTCCATTGGGATCTGATATTCACTTATAGACTGGGTGTCCAGCAAGTCCCAGTAATTCACCTGTCTCTGTCTCCCTAACATTTGGGTTATAAGCATTGACCTCCATGCCTAGCATTTTGCCTAAGAGCTGAGGAATCAAATAAGTCTTAATGATTATACAACAAGCACTTTACCAAAGGAGTTATGTCCCCAGGCCAGCTCCAATCTTTCATGGTGTATTTTTTGCATGCTTGGCTGACTGTTCATGAAAATGTTCCCTTTTAATATGGACACCAGTCATGAACACTGGGGATGTGCCCCAGTGTCCCATTTTAAATAGATTACCTCTGTAAAGATTTTCTTTCTAAACACAGACAAAAACTGAGGTAAACTCCAACCAACGCTTTAGGTGTACTGACATTAAACATGTATATGTTTAAAAGTTTATCAGTTGCTCATTAGATGATTTATAACTTGAGCTGCTCAATTTGTTGAAGAAAAATTTTAACTGTTAAATAATTTAGATTATTTGAATAGTCTTGAAATGATCAGAAAATACTCAGTGTTGGCTGCATATTGGCATATATATTAGAACTTGTGCATACATGTTTTATATATGTATGTATTCTAACTTACTAATGGTATTATGGATGGCTTGAGTTAAGTTGAGGTCAGAGTTCCCAGCACACACAGTATAATCTGCTGGTTTGTTGACTGATAGCAGATTTTAACTCAGAAGCATCTATTAATAGATAACATTAGAAATTTTAACTATCAATAATGTCTATCTTTATTGATGTTGCCACTTACCTTATATGGGCCTGTGTGTGTCTTTAGGCTGTCAGTACACATCTCTGAAGCTTTTCTACATATCAAGTAGGCTACTGTGTTTTATGACTTAGTTGAATATGAGTCTATGCTGGGAGAAAATATGAAGCATTAATAGTTCTAGTATAGATAAATGTGTCACATGATGATATTTTTGTTTTGTGTTTCTTTTCTAGTCAATAAACACAAGCCATGGATTGAGACATCGTATCATGGAGTCATTACAGAGAACAACGACACAGTCATCTTGGATCCTCCACTGGTAGCCCTGGATAAAGATGCCCCAGTGCCTTTTGCAGGTAAGATGATTGACACCTTGGTAGGCTTGGGCTGACTTGCTCTGGAGGCCTGATGTGAAACCGCCACTAAGCCCAGCTAGGACCTAAAAGTTACTGTCACCACCCTGTGGGAAGAAGCCCTGTGTGTTTCAAGTTGTGTGTATCTTCTCATTGTTAGTGTGGACTCTTTAGCATAGTATGGTTATTTGCCTACACAATGCATCCTGTGAAAGAGACCTATATTCCTTCTTTTTGTGCTTGTTTTTGTTGTTTTGGTGGTTTTGATTTGTTCTGTTGTTGAGACAAGGTCTCTTTATGTATTTCTGAAATATGTAGGAACTTGCTATGTAGACCAGAACAGCCTTGAACTCATGGAGATCAGCCTGCCTCTGTCTCTGCCTTCCAAATGCTAAGATTAAAGACATGTCACATGCCCATTTTCCTCCTGCTAAGAGGTGACAAATTGCCGAAATGACCCCTGGAGTTAGATGAGATGGACTAGTGAATGTCCTTGGGGAATTTTGCTCCTAGAGAGATGGCCTGCATACATGGTAGCATGTGGCCACCACTGTCCCCCAATACCTACATACCACATAGGGACTTATATCTTGGTAGATTGGCAAGAAAGGGGGAAAAAACTATCAAACAAAACTTGCTAAAGGTCAGATGAGATTGTGCCCTTGAGCTTCAACCTGAGTATGGCTTCCAGGGGAGGAATCTAAAGTCAGATGCCCTTGTCTTTCTTGGCTAGAAGCCTTTCTTACTGTCTTCAAGGTCACTTCTCTCACTCTGACCTGCAGAAGTCAGACCCTATGTAGTAAGGATACAACACTGTCATCTGTTTTCATGGATTTGGGTAAAGACAGGAAATGGGCAACGGCTTGGGTAGGAGGCCTTAGACAAAGAATGTCTGAGGTTGCCTGAATCACAAGGAATAGTGTTCACATTTTATAACTGTCAAGTGGAAGACAGGAAATTTAATGAAGGTTTTCAAGACCTCTAGAAGATTGCTTTATGATCGATGGGTGCCAGGCAGGGGTTTTCACCATGATGAAGTCTATTTTTTCTGACAGTTTGTCTGCTACATTATGAGCTACTTGAGCAGAAAAAAAAAATGATTCTTTCGCACTTTTAAGAGAGATGCTCTGTGAAGGCCTTTTATTCATTACGGCAGATTATGATGGCAGGAGGGCTGGGCTGGGTTGAACTCAGTGTGATGTGAAGGTAAGCCCATAAGCATTCTTACTGTGGGGGGAAAAACTCTTACGTGGCTTTATCTTTATTTTATATAAAATGATAACTAATGGGCACCTAACAGTGATTTTCATGATGTCTAAGGTTGGGTAGCTTCAGACATCTTCCAAATGTCCTCCAACCAAATGACACTTGGAAGTACCATGCCCTTTTTTTCTCATACCATCACCTTTTCCACCCCTGCCCTTCTTTGGCAGCCTAGAATTAATCTACCTTATATTCTTCCGGACATAAGTAGCATGGCAGTGTGGTTAACCAACACCTTTAACAATGTCTAGAAATAAGGTTTTTGAAGCAAATACCAGTAAAAATATGTTTGTGTCACAGAAATCTTTTATTTGGCTTTTAACATATGCTTAAAAATAGATCCAACATTAAGAAACTGGTAGATTTATCATGAGATGCACGATTCTGGTTAATCTCAATGAATCAGATCTCAAGTAGAGAACTGAGTCAGAATGTCCTCCCTCCCCTCTTCCTTCCTCCCTTCCTTCCTTGGAAGCGGGCCTGAAATTCAGTATAGAGACCAGGCTGTCCTCAAACCTGTGGTCTCTGGCCATAGCCACCTGAGTTTTAGAGTCACAAATCTGTGTCCCAACACCGAGTTGGCCGTTGCTTTAATCCATGTGTGAAGCCCAGTTCCCTCCCAGCTGTTTGTCTCACAGTGTGCGCACAGAGGCCTCCTCACTAAATAGGGCTTAGTCTTTCCCCTCCCTGTCTGGAGGCTGACCTCTCTTTCAAGCATAACAAAGTGAACTTCTATCCAATTCCCAGGAAGTTACAGAGTGCCCTTCAGTCATACTGGTGCTGGGAGGCTGAGGTTTTCAAAGATGAGCCATGTGTCTGACTCTTGGTTATGCCTACCCCTAATGGAACTCTCTTTTGGTCTGGTTGTGAGCAAGGAACTGAAGTCTACAGCAAAGGGACCCACTCCCAAACAGAGGGGACACAATAAAAAGAACTTTACATTCAAGCAAATCTGATATTTGAGGATTTATATTCACAGCAGATTCCTTAACACCTTCATTTATTAGGGCTTACTGACAATTAAAAAATCATCTGCAGATTCATCTGAGCGTTTCTTCAGTTGAAGCCTCGTCACGTGCCTTAAACTTGAATTTGTATTTTGTCAGATGTGCTTACAGTTGTTCAGGCTTGTTTTGAAACTCAGAGTTGCCTCTCGGCCAAGCCCTGAGTAGCTATTTCCAACCAGAAACAGTTTCTCTGCTCCACCTGTTATCTTTGCAGCTGCCTTTAAAAAAAAATTCTGGCTTAATGCATCAAAATATAATCTGCCAAGCTCTTAAGAGTAAAAAATAAAGGTGCTTCTTATTATGGTCAAAGCTATTTTTCTCAGTATTATTTATGGCCAGCTGTACGACAGGACACAGACACTAGCCATCCATCCAGCGACGGGCATTTATTTTAAAACATTTATCTTAAAAAGAAAATACTCTAGATTTATTTCAGATCCCCATCATTCTCATAAAATTGAAAAATTTATATCTGCCAGCTCCATCACCCTCCACGTCAACAGGAGCTTCTGGTCTTCCTTATCAAACACTCCTGAATTAGGGGTCACTTTCCCCAGCTTTCTCCCTGCGTCTTTCCTTCCCGTTGAGTGGTGAGCTGAGCTGAGCTCTGTCACAGACCATTACCTTTAGATCATTTTTCACTACTTTATTTCTCTTATCTTCTCCTACCTTTTGGAAATTTTAGAAAAAATATTCTTCTATAAGAATTCTGTTTGAAAATAATTTAGAATTATATGCTACTATAAGCAATGCTCACCTAAATAAAAAGCAAAGCATGTATTGTAGAAAACATGGACAGTCCTGTGATGTGCACACAAAAGGCATACAGCCTGCATCTTCCCACCACTAGAGACTCTTGGCATTCCAATGTACTTCCTCCAGTCATGTTTCTATTCCTTGCCTAAAATTATTATTGCATCTTGCATGTAATATTAGAATTGAGTGTTAGTGTTATTTTAAAAATAACATTAGCCCTATAAATATCCTAATGAATGTTCTAGAGCTTACTTTTTCCCTATTGACAACTATTGTACCTATTTCCATTTCTATCTTGTTACAACACATTTGCCTTTCTGTGTCTACTGGTGGATAAATTTTCATGAGTACAATTAATTGGTCAAGCATTTCCAAGTTCCTGAAACACATTAGATTGCTTTTCAAAAAAAAAAAAGTCCTGTATGACTTTGTGTTCCTATCCACAGCATCCGAGTCCTCCTCCAGCCCCTTTTGTTCGCTCTAATGGTGATTTGGTGACAGAATGGCAGAATAGCTAATTGTATTATCTTTAATAACATCATCTGTGAATGATGCAGGCGTTCCAGGCTTTTTGTATGGATGAAATTTAAATAATATCTGTGCCACATGTTCCAAATGTGGTGGTTGTTTAAATGAATTGGAGTTTCCATCTCCAGCCTTTTATGCCTGCTCATTTCATAGAGGAAATGCCTACTTGGCATTGAGGCGAAGCAACTTGCCCGGCATTCCAGGTGACTTTGGTTGAGGAACATTGATCTTGCTTTGAATCCGTTTCTAGTTTGAGCGGCAAAACCTCCATGAGACCTCAGCCAGTTCTATTAAACTTGCTTGGCTCACTTCTCAACTTAGAGTCTGAGCTCTATAGACTTGACCTTCTTAAAGAAGCAGACACAGAAAAATCCTCAAGTAATAATGGAAATCCTGACCATTGCATGACAAAAAAAAAAAAAAAAAAAAAAAAAAAAAAAAAAAAAAAAAAAAGAGTGATAATGAAAGCAAGCCGGGCATACCATGAACTTATTAATTTCTACATGTGCCCCATTGAGACCTGTTAGGAAACTGTGGAGACTTTTAAATTTGAAGGGAATTAGACGGCTTTTCAGAGATACTAGAACTACCATTCATTTGTCTACGTTGGGCCGGTCTGCACTTGTCTCTTGTAAGGACAGGGCTACAGAGGATGATCAGGCATAATTGGCTGGTTTTGCCGGCTGGGTAAGTCTCTGAAGGCTGCCCAGAAAATTGTCTGGAATACGATTTGACCTGGTTTGATTAGTTGGTTACAGTGCTGGCTGTGGCAAGGACTGTTCCTTCTTTTGTGGCTGACTCCATTTCTCTTATTCAGCTCAATGTCTGCCTATCACCTTCCTCCCTATCTGTGGGTCTGTTCAAGGGGCCTGGCTCTCACCTAGGGCTCAATAAGACTCTAATGGTAGAGACCATCAAGGGTTCATTCTGCCACGATATCTTATAATGGGCAGGAAAAGCAGAGGTCATAGCATTCATTATTTCTAGTATTTTTAGATTGATGGTCATCATTGTATGCTTTAAAACATATAAAATATTATGTTTGAAAGCATATCAATATAATGTAGAAGCTTTAAATCTAGGTAAGTGTCACATATATTACCTCATATAGTATGATGGTTAATGTGGTCAAATTGGCAAAAACTAGAATCACCCAGGAGATGGCCTCTGCACATGCCCGTGAGGGACTTTCTTCACTGATGTGCTTGGGGTAGGAGGCTGGAACCATTTCGTGGACTAAATCCCAAACTGAATAAAGAGAGGGAGCTGCAGAGCCCACGTGCACTCGTTGCTCTCTATTTCCTGACTATGGATGCCATGTGGACAGCTGTCTCAAACTCCTGCCACTGTGATTTCAGGGCAAGATGGAACGTTAGCCTGGAACTGCGCGTCAAAATAAGCTCGCTCTCCTTTGGACTGCTTTAGTCAGAGAACTTTATTACAGAAACA